TATTGCAGAGGTCTTAACCACTCGACCACCGAGCTTGCCGGGTTTTTTCGCAAGCTCTTGGACAAGCACTGAGCATACAGTGCTTATTTATATACATTGGGTAAGGGCAAACCCGTTATATATAATTAACATCTCCCCAACGCAAAAATACATCTTGAAAAGGCATTATTTAACATTTATGTATTGGGCCCTACACAGTGATCGTTGTATTGTATTCTACTCTGAACTGTGACTTGTTTAATTTGCCAACTCTTGTCCACAGAAGAACAGTCAATGATTGCTTATTCCTCTACAAACATATCCGTAACCATTACACTTTAACTACCGTTAACCCATTTTCCCTCTATGTTCCCGAATGCCGAACCAGATCTGCTCCCAAACACATCATGCATGTTCCGCGGAGCCAGGTGGAGGTAATGAAGCAAGGCTTTGTTTCAAGGATTTCAACTGCCTACAACCGACTCCACGAAACGTGCAATGTGTTTGGGGCGCTTACATTGAATTTGTTCTGTACTGAGATTTACAGAAGTTCTTCGCACCCATACATGTAGCTCATTTATGTACATGTAAACTGCCACAGGTTTAGCCAGCTTTACACTGAATTGACTTAAATGTATGTATTTACTCAAGTTTATGTTTATACAATTATTTATTATTTACATGTAATTTGGATTTCTCCCCTCCCCCCTTTTTTATCCGGCAAAAGCCGGAACAGCTGTTGCTTTCTGATTGTTTTTGTTTTTTTTCGTTTAGTTTTTTTTTTCCAGCCCGATTCCTTCCGCCAGTGGACTTTGGCAGTTTCCTAAATCTGATCGACTTCAAACTTAGCAGGTCTTTGGACAATTATCCAAGGATGGTCCTAGAAGAAATTTGTGATGACATCATCACGTGATATCTTGAATTTTCTTGAATCTTGAATTCTTGGATCTTGAATTTTGAATATTTAATTTTTTCCGATTCACTTTGTACCGGTGCACGTTTTCAAGCCACTATTTTGAATTCTTCACGATGTTTGATCACTATCCAAGTGATAGTCAACAAAGACCCTCATCCAAGAATTATTCTAAAGGAATGACATCATGATGATATCATCATGCATTTAGTATTGAATTTTCAATATTTATTTCAGCCCATTGACTTAGTACACGTTTTCAAGCCAGCATTTGCGCAATTTTCAGAGGTTTGATCAACTTCAAAGTTACAGACAACAAAGACCCTGATGAAAGAATTTTGATAAATTTATGACGTCATGATGATGTCATCACATATTTTTTAAATGGATTTTTGGATATTTTATCGTCCCCCATGGGTTTTGTACACATTTTTCAATGGCCTATCTTCGGCACATTGGTAAATCTGAATTATTTCCTTTAATGTACACTTGAAGTCCCTAATGAAGAGAGATTCCCCCAAAAAATCATCATAATAACTTCATCAGGGGTCACGTGACATGAGATTAAAGCTGCAGTTTTCCCCATAGGTTTTGTACACGTTTTTCTACTACGCAATATTATCGATCTTAATGAGAGTAGTCCTGAACTTCAGGTGAGAATTGCCCTGAGAACGAAAAAAAAATCTTTTTTTTTTCGTCTTCATTTGATTACATGTATACCCAAAAGTCTGAATATCAAAAAATATTTCAGAATTTCTTTCAGTGCAAACGCAAATCATATGACATCATAAAGAAGCAGCTTTTTTGCATAGGTGTTTTCAGTCCATTGACTTTGTACACATTTTCAAGCCACTATTTTGAAACCTTCGTGATGTTTGATCGCCATGAAAGTGATATCGAACAAAGACCCTTATGCAAGAATTCTTCAAAAGAAATGACATCACGATGATGTCATCATGTGATTTACTATTGATTTTTCAATATTTATTTCAGCCCCTTGACTTTGTACACATTTTCAGGCCACCATTTGGGCAATATCAGAGGTTTGATCAACATCAAAGTTACACACAACAAAGACCCTCATGAAAGAATTTTCCTAAAGTTATGACATCATGATGATGCTCAGTGGTTGTTCACAACCACGTTCCTCTAGTCATTTTTTTGTTTTGTTTTCCATGATACCTGTAAGTGGCATATCTCTGCTGTTGGATATCAGAATAAATAAATAAATAAAAATTGACAGATCGTATAAGATACATGTAGCAGTCTCTTGGAATCGCTGGACTGTTTGTGGAATCGGATCTCAAGGTTATGGAATCAGCGGCGGAATGGATTCGATTCTCAAAAAAGTGGATCAATTCTACCAGATTCCAGTATGGATTCACCCAACAATGCCCAAGCCTAGCCTATATGCCAAGGAATGAACATTGAATGCTGTATTGTGTTACATTGTAACTTCATGGTACATGTATAACACAAAACTCAGAAATAAATAAAATGACTAAGCTACTCATTTAGAGATGCTGTTACATGTTTTTGTACTTAAGTCAATACTAAAAGAACTTAGCATCCTTTGTGTTTTGCCAACAAACGTGGGTACCAGCATTTGGTCTGGCCCATGGACTAATTGCCTTGCGGGATGTTCAGACGTAATTTGAGGTGTCCAAAATATGGCCTCAAAAACTCAGTCCGAAATTATTACTTTATAGAGGCATTTCACATGATTTCAGCTTAGGAAGTTGACACCGGTAGTCTTGAACACGCCCTTCCCCCAGGTACCTGTAGTTTACTTGTAGCTCGTTCCTCAAGGTTGCTTGTCTCCCAAGGTATATGTAGGTGTAGTTAACCCTCCCGTGGCCATTTCTGATTAGAGTAGATGACTACAACAGACCTTGTACCTCCACCTTTGCCCAAGTACCGAGCTTTCCACAAAAAAGGATCCAGTTCTGTTTGACAATGAAGTCTTTCAAAATGCCTGGCACCCCTGCTTGAAAAGGCGAGTTCTTGACTCGGAAATCAAAATAAGTTCATTTCAAATTATTCAGCCAGCGCTGTCTTTGGCCGTCGCTGAAAGACTGGCAAAATCTTAACTGTTTCCCCTGACAATGGAGCTATGACTCACTCTGGCGCTATCGCACAACGTGGAGATACATTGTACTCTCCCATCGAGAATCTCAGATCTCCTCTCCCTTTCTTGCAACAGTGAACCCCACTGTATTGTCCATATTTCAAATGCCAACCATTATTATTCAGATTAAGTAAAAAGCTGTTTCTTTTACCAGCCTTGTGCCAGTGCCTTTTCTTGAGAAACACAAACAACCATATGATGCAAGATATGTGGGAAAGGGGGACCCCCTCTATGGTGTCTTCTTTGTGTTGATGGAATCTTTGGAATTTCTTTCAGATTTTTGAGGGGGGTGCAGTGTGCACAACAGCCTTGGGGTATACAGCTTGTGCATCACCTTCCCTTTCCCGCATATCGTGCCTGGTATCCAAACAACTACCACCAACCTTATTTATGTACAACCCGGGCATTTCCACTGCTGGGTGAAACCATCCATAAAACTTAGATATTGATGCAAAAGAAATAAACAGTGGCCTCTTGTGACAATCACATATGCATGCATGTGTGTTTATTAGTTTACATGTACACGTGTATCTCTCTTATGCTCATTGTAATAAATGAACACAGTACATGTATTTCATTATTTTATTTAAACGTGTAATTCCTGTCAATGTTGTTCAGATTTTATTTGATTAAAAGTTATAAGATATTTACAGTTTGGTAATGAGTTACTTGTAAAACTAAGTTTCAGCATTGTGAAAAAATGTTTGTTGGTTTTTTTATGTCGAAGGAAACTTACTGGAATGGCTTTCCGTGTTCCGGTGCCAGATGTTTCAGTTGTTGATCTCACTGTTCGTCTGGAGAAGGAAGCATCCTATGATGACGTAAAATTGGCTATCATAAAGGCTTCAGAGGGTCCATTAAAAGGCATTCTTGGATACACAGAAAATCAGGTAAAGTGTTCGTTAATGTACTGGTATCTTACAAATTCAAAGTGAACAAGTGTACATGCTCACAGTGTTCCTCCAAAGGTCAGCATGGCAGACAGGTTGTGGTTTGTTTCATCTTCTGATGTCCCAGGCAGTTCAACATCCACTACAGTTTTGTGTATGTGTTATCACTTCCTGCACTTCAATGTAAATTTTTCATTATTCCTTGTTTTACATTTATTTGTTCAGGCATGATTAAGATGAAAAAGGATGAATCTCAGAACATGTACAGTAACACCCACAATGTAATCACAAAGCATGGTCAATTTCTCATACCTTGAAATTAGAACTAAATTTAATATTAAGGAGTTCAGTGATATACACAACGCACAATATATTTTGTACATTTTGCAATGAAATGAATTTGGCTTGAACTGATACAAGGTGAGCTTATTTCTATGTAATTGAGTAATTCCATTTTCAGTACTACAATTTAGTATTGACTGATTTTGCAGTGTGTGGATTTAGAGGAGATCTGTACATGTCAATAAAAGTGTTGCAGTCCGAGACCAGGCAGTCTGAGACCAGACAGTCCAAGACCAGACAGTCTTAGACCAAGACCAGACTATTCAAAACCAAGACCAGACAGTCCGAGTCCAAGACCGAACTGTTTGATACCTAGACGCAAGACCTGGCTTGCAGACAAGGCCTTCAAATCATCTCTGGATGTTAATCTCTAGGATACCAGACTTCCAGCAATTGCCCAATTCTGCTTTTTTCGTATTTTGGGGAAATGTGGGGGAACTACATGTACATATGAAGGAGTGCCCTTTATTTACTTCACACAGTCAAAGTAGGGCACCAGTTATGTTCATGCATCAAATGGTTTTGTGAACATGTACATGCAGTATACGTGTATATCCAGCATGGCAAAATAGTTTCATTTCACAATTGTTTTACTTCATATTTCGCTGCATCAACTTTTAATTTTAAACTTGGCAAAATGGAAGTTGAAATAGGTGAATATGTTAAATTAATTAATGCAAGTGTAAAAAATAAGTTCAATTGAATCTTGCTAGAATCAAAATGGCACAGTTGTAGATGCAGGCAGCTTGCAACTCCTGGAAATTTTTAACCCTCTAACTCTTTATCACGGATTTTTACTCTTGGTTTGACACTTTTAATATATAACTTCGATGTTATGCTGTGAATTTTTTTAAATATTTTCTGAGCTGTGTCATTGCACCAGTCAGTTTCATTTTGTGCCTGTACATGACATTGTGCAGTAGTGCAAACCATCATCACCTGAATTCAACAACCCTACAATGGAATTTCGCTGGACACTGTTTAACTCTCAAATGCATATGTTATTACTGTTTATTCAATCAAAACAAAGACAAAGCATGATAGTATCGAAAATCAGCGTGAACAACTCAAAAAAGGCAGAAATACAAAAGAAATGAACAATGTATACCGTGACAAAGTTGATTATAAGGAGGGAGCTAGACAAGCATGAAAACAAGCTGAAATATAGTCATAAATGATTGGCAAACTGTACAAGGGTATCATAGAAGTTAGAGAATAAAATATGTGGACATCAAAAACTGTGGGACAAATCCAAACAAGTACTGTGCAAGTTATGGAGGACTATCCACCAATTTACTGTTTAATACTTGGAATCAAATTACATGTATCTCATAGGCACTTGGCCTGTAAGACAAGAAAAAAAAAGAAAGAAACATGACAAAGAAGAGAGAGGATTTGTTATAAAATTTTTACATCAGCATGCTTGTCAATCTGGATAGGATATATAAGTAAATTAAACAATTCAAACTGACGTTGTTGGGGGGTGACAGGTTGTGGCAACATCACAAACCTATTGTGGAATACATTTCATTTTTTTCTGATAAGAGCTGTTTTGGGGAGTGCATTTGCGGGTATTTTTAGAACCAGGCACCCGTTTTTTGTTAACATCGGGTACCCGAAAAAGAGATCACCTAATAACAAATGGCATTGCGCGCAACCTGGTAGATCATATGCCCAAAACACGGTTCTTTTTGGTACATAGGAAGCAAGCAGAACAGTGTTCTAAACGTCAGAGTTAATCTCTCCTACCATTTTATCAAACAAAATTGTTACCTTCAGTTTGCAAATTTTTTGTTGTTGTATGAAACAGAAAAACAAATCTTCACGGGGAACGTCAGAAAAGAGAACAGAGCTGCAAACCACCTACATGATATATGCCCCTGCAAATGCTCAAAGGAAATGTCCCGGATGCTGCATGACCACGTATACGCAGACGCATGTGGCGTGCACAAATAGTGAGCGCTGGTCGTGTCACGTGCGGACCAGATCAGTGCTACATACGTCATGGGTTAAAAGGCTTCAAGTTTTATGTACAAAAATACTACGTACCTCGAACAATGCCCACACCATTACATCCACTTATTTTGAAGTTTCTGATTAAAAAAACCGCGAACAAAATGCTTCAAACGGCGTTGAAAGTATCGGAAGTTTATATAGGGTTAGGAGTCATCGCAAGTTCATTTCTTTTCTGATGAGGACCAGCACGTTGCATAAATCAACGTAGCTGCAACTGTGTAATCCTGGCTTTCAAGACCCTGAAACTAACCTGACTGCAACGCGGGCCCAATTGTAGTCCCTTTCAGGCAGTCCAATTGCTGACACTGCAGCGGCCATGTGACCGTAAAAAGAAAGGTCATGTGACCACACATAAGCCAAAGTGAAAGAAATAACAGCGCTTCACGTTGTTAAATGACTGAGTGATACGAAAGTTTTGCAACACGAAGGGACGTACCATGATGAAGTGGTTTAGTTTAATAAATACTTTTTTCAGGATAACTCCATTCCCCTGAGGTTCAGTTGTCGAGTTTTTAATGTATAAGTACTTCGACAAGTGACATTTGATTGGCCGACTGTATTATGACTTGCACTTGTCCACATTTCCTTTTTTTTCGAATGAAAAAAATACTTGGATTTGAAATGCTGTAGTACATACAGAAAACATCATTCCTGCTTTTTTGGTCAATTCCTCATCCACAGTTCCGCTGAATCACTGAGAAAATTCAAGTTGCTTTAATTTAAAAATAATTTTGAAACGAAATATTTCTTGGTATAAAACTTAACTAAACTGGTTCTCTGACTCTTTTGGTTTGTTGCGCACATTTAGTGCTTTGATTATAAAAAGAGGCTGATCAACCGCACGATTTGTGCGTGATCACTACTTACCGCACGCCGTGTGGAGTCCCAGTACCGCTGGAATATTACACAGTCCGCTCTCGCTTCGTCGTCAATCCTGACATAGAGTAATTTTCATTCATATTGTTTTATTTGACCAAAAAAATACTCTTAATTCAAAGAGTAAACACTACTAATTCCGCACAACAAAAGTCATTTAGGCTGACAGGGTTTGATAGTTACAAATACAATCATGCAAGTGTACATCAACAGCGCTTCTCCCTCAAAAGACAAAACTCCTCCGGTCTCTTGTTCATATAGGTTTGGTACAGTCATTTTCCTAGTTCCGGGTCCCTAAAATTATTCAGTAAGACTGCAGCTAAAAAATCCTCAAATTCGAGTGAAATATGGTCAGAAGTCAACTTTGTGTTTTGGATATACTTCCATTTTTTTTTTCAAAATCTAAGTTTTTACATTTGAACTCACAGGATCGATCGACCAAAGTGACGATGACACCTTTCCTAGTTTTGGATCGGTTTAGGATCGAGACAAAAATGTCTTCACAAATAAAAAGTAACCATACTAAAAATCCATTTTCAGCCCAAACCATTGTAAACAGTTGCTTTTCTAATAGAGAATCTTTTAATTCTGAGAAAATTAGATGAAATATAAGAATTCCAATGAATTAAAAAGGTAGCAATTGCGTAAGCTTTGACTCGACTTTTCAACTGTACAGTGAGCTATCAACGTTGCCCTCCCCGCGCCGCACAGTTGACGAACCCATTACGTCACATACATTTCTGCTGCGCCCGCGTAGTTGAGTTCGCAACGACTTTGCGTGGTAACGCCACGCGATCCGAGAGTGGGGGAAAAACTTGCAGTTTTCGGTAAATTAACAAAAACGGAAACTCTAAAAAAGTCATTTGATTAAGCAGACATTAGATGCAAATGTTTATATGACCATTCAATTTAAAGACATATTTAAAACCACACGTAGCGAGTGACCTATCACCCGTGAATTTTAGTGGTTTTTTCGCTCTTGTGAACTAGGAAATTCCGGAACTAGGAAAATGACTTGCGGTACAACAGGCGGAGTGGGTAACAAAATTAGCTGTCGATCTCTGAATTCAAGTTTCATGTATGACCGTGGGACCAGGTTTTCATCGGCACAGTGGTTTTCCATGAAGTCTGTCCTTCAGCAAGAAATTTCACAGACATTTTATGCATGAATGTTTGTTCCTAATTTATTTACTTTTTTACGGGTACCCGTCCCGGAAAAATGGAACCGGGTTTTGAAAATCGACGGGCGGGTACCCAGGTACCCGGCACAGGCCTAGAGCTGTTGTTGTTCCTCAGGAAGAATAAGAACAGAGAGTTACATCTTTAGTGCTATGCCTCCGTAACAAAAGCAGTTATCAGGAATATGGCTTCCATGCACAACCTCTGTAATGTCCCACAGCCTCAGCAATCAATGGGATGGGGAGTGCAATAACAGATTTGTGCGAACAAAAAGATGACAGTATGAGATGGTGTCAATATGTCGAGGGTTGATGACAGTGTTGTTGCTAAAGGATTCACTGACTGTAATGTCATTTGTGTTATGCTCCAAGCTTCACAACAGAATTTCCTCACCAGCAAAATTGGATAGAAGAGATGGATGTTTTTGGATTAGGGTTTTCCGACTTGTCAGACATCTGGAAATAGACTGAATTTGGACTTGTATATTGGCTCAATCATTCTGTACATTTCCTTCAGATAGGGCATCCTGGTGAGTTTGTTTCATACTTCTTTGTATACTAAGCCTAAGGGGATTTGCTTGTACAGTC